CATACACGACTGGATGTAGAGATCACGAAGCTTTGGAAAGAAGCCTAACCACAGCGACTTGAGAAGATCACAGCTTTCATTAATACTCAAAACTTCAATGGATGTGGAGTAATTATACTCCTTCATCTCCTCGGACAGGGGAAACTCTAATCTCCTACAGGAGGAGATGTCAAGTGTTTTCAATGTAGCGATGGGCAAAGACACCTTAACAAGAGATGAACAATTAAAGATGTGCAACTCTTCAAGACGAATATTAATGATTTCCTCTGATGGTACTGTTGCTGCTGCTAGTGACTGTAGAGCTTTACAACGTTTGATGCCAAGTTTTTTCAATGTAGCGATAGGAAAAGACACCTGAAGAAGAGATGAACAATCAGAGATACGCAACTCTTCAAGACAATTGTTGATGATTTCCTCTGATGCTAGGGACTGTAGACCTTCACAACTGCTGATCTTTAGCGTCTTAAGCTTCGGCGGCAGCCCCATGTCTGGAAATGACACAAGCCTCGGGCATTCCTCTATCTTCAACCTTTCAAGATTTACTAATCTGCACAACTCCTGTGGCAATTCCTTCAAGTTTGACATCCCTGAAATCTCCAATTTCTGTAGAGAAGACAGGTGTTGCATTTGCTGCGGCAATTCCGTCAAATTTGGAATATTTGGAATCTTCAACCCCTGAATGCAAGGAAGTCCTTGCAGTAACAGCCTAACTTGATTGGATTCGGAAATGTTAAGCTTTGTTAGGATTGGGGAGCGGATAGATAATTCACTGGTCAACTTAGGACAATTGTCTATAGAAAACTCTATAAGCCTAGAGAACTCTTCAATCCCTGATGCATCCCATTCCTCCCACTCTGCCATTTTATGAAACCTTAGTGTCTCCAAAGATTTAAACGGTTTGATTGAAGAAGAAGCATTCCCATACAGCTCCCCACCGACCTTCCTTATTGCATTCATGCTTTCAATTGTTAAATATTTTAGAGAGGGTAACTGCCCAATTGACGGCAAAGAAGAGCAATTTTCACAGCCTATAAGATCCAAGGACACCATGTCATGAAACAAATTACCTTTCTCTAACCAATTTGAAAATCTTGTGCCCCCATAGTTAATGATATGGAGATGCTTCACTCCCGCATGAGGATGTAGGTTGTCAAGTACAAGTTCTTCATTTTGTAAATTGTGAGTATGGCTGACCCATTTCAGCTCTAACCCTTCAAGATGCTCCTTTCCTTTTAGATTAGCCTCTGATGCCTCCGGACCACTGGTTACGTTTTGAAGCTCTGAAATGCAGAGTTGCCCCCGAAGTTGACCGAGTTCCTTCAACCCACTAAATCTTGACCAACCATCCTTGGCAACAACAAAATCTGTTAGATGTTGGAGATCTTTCAATATGCTCATTTGAGTTGGCATCCTAGTCAATCTAGTTTTTCGGATATCAAGATAGCGCAACTTTACTAGTTTTCCTATGTTGACAGGCAACTCAATAAGATCCCCACAAAATGACAAATCTAATGTCTGTAAGTTGCACAACGTTGTTACTGTACCAGGTAATCGTTTGAGTAGAGTCCGAGAGAGATCCAAATAGCGTAAATGTATCAAATTTTCAATCGATTGAGGCAGTTCATGAATCTTATATCTTGACAAAGATAACACCCTTAAGCATCTCAAACTTGGTAACATATCATGTAGGACCTTACTGCCCAAGAAAAAAGACCGTCCTTCACTTCGAAATGATATGAAACTCCGTAAACACTTAACCTCATTAATAACCTTGAATTTCTCAAATGCATCAAATTGGCACTGAAGATATGAGAAATGGCGAACTTTTTCACATATATTATGAAGTGGTTTGTCATCATCCAACCTAACACAGAACTTCCCAGATATATCTTGAGCTAAATCATTGAGTAGGTCATGCATTACAAAATAGGAAGGACTGTCACTTAATCTCTGAAAGAATGACCTTGATAGTAGTTCATGAAAGTAGTCATTACCTTCTTCCATTGAATTTTTGCTTTCGGGCTGCTGCGGCACAAGATCTTCGGCTATCCATAACCGGACTAATTTCTCCTTCTTAAATACGTAATCTTTAGGAAATTTCGAACAATATGCAAAGTATCGCTTTAAATACGAAGGAAGATACTGATAGCTCAATCTTAGAGCTGGAATAACGTTTTTCTCCTTCAAACCCCATATCTTGCTTTCCAGTATTTTTTTCCACTACTCAATATCCTGATTGGACCTCAAGAGACCCCCAAGTGATTTTACAGCTAAAGGCAGGCCTCCACACTTCTTCACAATTTCTCTTCCAATTTTCACTAGCTCTGAATTAGGCCTATGATCTCCATTCACAAATGCATGCCTTGCAAATAATGACCAAGAATCGTCAACCAACAGTGGCTCCAAGTGATGACTAGGAATGGCGCCCATTACTGATGCAACCTTTTCACTGCGTGTTGTTATCATAATCCTACTTCCCTGTGCTCCACCAATGAAAGGTTTTCTTAAGCGGTCCCAGACATTATAATCATCGTTCCAAACATCGTCTAAAACAATAAGAAATTTTTTGCCAGTGAGGCTCTCTTTCAACTTGATTTGAAGCTGGTCAAGGTTGTCGATGTCCTTGTTTGTTCCGTTAACATCGTCCAAAATTTTCTTTGTTATCTTGTAACTATCAAATGCATCGGAAACGCAAACCCATGCTTTCAAATGAAATTTGTCCTTTACTTCAGTGTCATTGTATATATGTTGAGCAAGGGTTGTCTTTCCCAAGCCACCCATTCCAACAATGGAGATCACAGGAATCTGATTCCCAGTTGCAATATCGTCGGTCAACAATTTCATTATATCCTCTTTGTCTTTGTTCCTCCCATAAATCTGAGACTCATTTACCAGGGAAGTTTCTTCTCTGTTGTTTGGTAAGTGGGAAGTTCCTTGTCTTCCAACATTCTCCATCAAATGAAGAGAATTTTTTTGGTTGATGAACTCGTCCAACTTACTGATGACCTTTTTCATCATCGACTCTATAGCATTATCAGAATGATAAGCAGGAGTCGAGACAAAACAATTAATTCGTAACAGAAATTGCTTCATTAGATGGAGAAATCGACGAACAATACTTGTGCTGCTTTGGGTTTGGGGAGGATGATGATCATCAGCTTCCAACTTGTGCCTCAAGGCCTTGGTAGCTATCTCGTCCAGTAAGTCGTCAGCTTGGTAGACAACATGTTGAAGCTCGTCCAGCCAAGCTTTCACTGCCGGGTTGGTAATCTGCTTGTCCTCGGCATCATCCAACACTACTTGAAGGGCCAGTAACTTTGTCTTCATATTGCCTATGAGTCCATCATCAAATTTTTGTTTGGAAAAGAAGCTTATGAACTCCGGAGAAGCCAGACGATCAAACAGCACGTCAAAGGAAGCCGAGAGAAGTGCTCCAACCACCATTTCAGCCATTTTCTTGTTCTTTAAGTTGCTGAGTAAAGCGCAGAATAGAAGGAAAGAGTGAGAGTGCAAGCAGAGTAGGTATGTTTGCACAAATATGGATGCTGCAAGCAATACTATTAAAGGTCCCCCCACACGGCTAAAAATTAATGAAACTATTTGATTGTGCATTTGGGTAAGTTTGTTTCTTTTTATTTTTATTTATTTTTTTTGGTTTAATTGAGATGTGAATAATTACTCTGTACTGAACATGAGTGGGCAATCATAAAAACAAATTTGAAAATATATTTCTATAGTAATAATATATTGGCCACAATCGTGTTTTTTTTTTTGGTTATTATTATTATTTTTATTATTATTTGGTTATTATTATTATTTTTGTTAAATTGATATCGACGTGAATAACTTACCCAAAAAAAAAGATTTCGATGTGAATAACTATTCTGTACTGAACTTGAGTGGAATCATAAAGATATCGAAAATATATTGTAATAATTGACCACAATTGTTTAAGATTCTTTTTAAAAATTTTATTTTATGGTGATCATAAAATGAGGATTTGATAAATTAGACAAAACTTTAAGCTACATTTTGTAAATTTCTTGTTAGTGGCTAGCTAACTTAAAAATATCAGGAAAAATCTCTTCAATCTTCAATTTTCTGCTTTTGTTACATTGGATACTTAGTACAATGAATTGCATAAAGCTCAAAAACGAGCCAATTTTATACTTTTTCTTTTTCATTTTTTCATAGTTTTGAAATTTTTGTTACATATATTAAATATAAAAATAGAAAATATAATGAAATTATAAAAAAATATGTTTTACAAATTCAAGAGTCCTTGTTTTAAAAATATGTTTATTACATTGGCCGTGAATAAAATTTTAAATTTACCCCTTTGATGAGGTCCACCCATTTTTGGAAAATTGAGACTTTGATAAATTAAAAATGTTATAAAAAATAGTACATTAATTTTTAAAATGAAACAACAATAATAAAACAATCGAAAATAGAAGATGGATTATTAATATGAGAGGAAGGAAATAAATAAATAAACAAAATTGTATAATAATATATTTTTAATTATTTATTTTTGTAAGGAATTCTTAATTTCTTATGATCATGATTGCAAGAGAATTGGAGGATGCATTTGCATTCATTCACATGGGCATGTGGGGACCTCTGCCCATCAAAAGCGACAGTGTAGCTGCCAGGCTGTACTAGATTCATTTCACATTTGACTTTGTAATAATTAGACCACAAAAGCTAATAATTTGTGCTGGGAGGCCATTGGCTCTTCTCATATGTTTTTATTTTTCCTATTATAAAGATAATTTTCACACTGATAAATGCACTTCACTTGTTTGTCTTTAATTTTCGTAAGCAAATGACAAAAATATCCCTAATTCTTATACCCTTGAACTAAATCATCAAGGGTTGATATATATATATATCACCAAACTATTTCAAGGTTAAAAGTTTAAGGGATTCTACCAACACCCAAAAAAAAAAAAAAAAAAAAAAAATAGTTATATGAAGTCGATTATATATACTATTATGATATGAGGAACCAGTAAATTTTAATTAGAGAAGAAAATACTAATAATAATATAGTAACAACAAATATTAAAATTCAATAAATGAAAATTTAATTAGAGAACAAAATTAAAATTTTAAAAAGTTTATTTAATAATAGAGTAGTAGAAAATCTAATTAGTGAAGGAAATATATACAATTAAAAAACTAAAAATACTAAAATTCAATAAAAAGAAATTTAATTGGAGAAAGAAATATATAATATTAAAAAACTTATTTATTCTATTGAATAAAAGGAATTATAATTAGAGGAGGGAAAGAATACTGAAATTCAAATAAAGAATATATAATTAGAGAATGAAATATATAATTTATTTTAATAAATACAAAACAATTCTAAATCAAAATATACCAATAAAATAACAATGCAAAACTTTTAAATACACACTTTCACTCATGTGCACCGCACATATGTAAGTGATTATAATTGAAATCAAATAATGTTGCATTTTTTATAGTAACATTTAAAGAGTTTAATTTATTAAAAGAAAAAAAATCTAAAAATAACATGTAACAAAATTTTCAATACACACATATTTATATATATATTAAACAGCATATTAAATTTCAAACTTTAAATAATTTAGTAAAAAACTCTTTTTTTCTCAATTGTCTCACACCCTTGCAACTCCATCTCTCTCTCTCACTTTATGCACTTTTTTTGTTTCTGTTTGTCTCTCACCTTCCTATCCGAAACATAATTTTTAGGTTTGCATTGAAGAAACGTATGAATTAATTTGTTTTTTCCCTAAGTGAAAATATAAATTAGTTATGTATTCTCTCTCTGGTAGAGATCAACCTCTCCTTTTTTTTTCAAAAAAAAAAAAAAAAAGGAGGAAAAAAAAAATGATGATAAGCATTTAGTGTTAATTAAATTACATAAGATAGTTAATAATATAAAATATTTGCGTTCTCATTCAAGATTGGCAAAGAAAATAAAAAGAAAAAAAAAAGATGGAAAGGATAAGCAAATAAACTACGGCTAATAATACAAAATAGGGACTTGAAAGGGTAAATGTAGTGAACTTTGAAAAACTTAATCATAAATGCTTCAAATATTGTTTTGTGATTAAATTATGATGTGGTTACAACTTATTACAATTGTTCTTTTGTGATAATGAAAAGTTTATACTATTTAACTACATGCCTTTTGGTATCAGGAAAAAACCTCTTCAATAGTATAACCACAAAAAGGAATCAAATTTTACAAGAAAACAAAAACAAAAAAATAATGTCGAAGGTAAACTCCCAAGAATCATATTCAAACAAAATAAATTAAAGAATTAAAAATTCTTTTAAATTGAAACCTCAAAAAATGACAGCAAAAATAAAATCAATAGAATCATATTTGAGTAGAAGAAATAATTCTTTTAAATTGAACTCACAAATGAGATTTATTGGAAAACAAAATGTGTATTTTTAATGATCAATGTACCAAACACTTAATCAGTTCACAACTTGTTATAAAAAAAATAAAATAAAATAAAAATGATCAGGGAAATTTTGAAAAATAATGTAACTTTTGATAATAGGTCACATTCAATAAGGGTTTTGGGGAAAATAAAATGTTGAATTCTCATTCTAATAGAACAGATAAAATTAGTAAAAAATAATATAGAAAAATATTTTAAGATATTGTAATAATTGGCCACAATTATTTAAGATTCTTTTTAAAAAGTTTATTTTTTGGTGATCATGAGGTTTGATTGTAACTTTAAGTTAAATTTTGTAAATTTCTTGTTAGTGGCTAGCTAGCTTAAAAATATCAGGAAAAATCTCTTCAATCTTCAATTTTTTGCTTTTGTTACATTGGATCCTTTTTATGGTGAATTGCATAAAGTTAAAAAACGAACCAATTTTATACTTTTTCTTTTTCTTTTTCTTTTTCCTTTTTTCAAAGTTTTGAAATTTTTGTTACATATATTAAATAAAAAAATAGAAAATATAATGAAATTATTAAAAATATATATATATATGTTTTACAAATTCAAGAGCCAAGCTGGCTTGTTTTTGAAATTGAGATTCAAAATTAATTTTCTAAACTTGTAAAGAATACTAGTTGAAATCCAAACTATGTATGCATAAATCAAATTCAAACTATCTTGAACTCAACTTGGCATGACTTAAAATATATATATATATATTCAAAATCATTAATATATCGTCTCAATAAAATTATCAACTAATGAAAATACAAACCCGTATATTATTTATATATATATATATATATATATATATATATATATATATATATAATTTTAAAGAAAAAAGTTCAATATGGACTGAAACATCACTCCACAAGTTTAAAAATAAAGCAAGATTCCAATCTGACTACTGAAAGAGATTTGGCATTGATATTGGCACATCGAAGCCAATAAAAAAAATACTACGTATGTTTTACAAATTCAAGAGCTAAACCAGCTAGTTTTTTGAAATTGATATTCAAATTTAATTTTCTGAACTTGTATAGAGTACAAGTCAAAATTGAAGTACGCATAAATTGAATTCAAATAATCTTAAACTTGGCTTGGCATGACTCAAAAAAAAAAATATATATATATATATATATATATATATATATATATATATACATATAATTACTAACTAATGAAGATACAAACCTATATATTCGAAATATATATATATATATATATATATATACACAATTTTAAAGAGAAAAGCCCAATATGGCATGTGTAACATCACTAGTCTAACATTAAAGCAATTATTTGTTCGGCTAGGTAGAAGAAGAGAATAAACTTAGGAGAGAATGAAAGAGAAAGTTTAATTGTTTTTATCATTATATTCAATAATATTTAGTGCTAAACTCATAAAACTCTTACTATTTTTAATTTTTGATCATAAAATCTCAAACTGTTTTGAAAAACTCCAGTACTATTACAAAATTATCACATTGCCCCAATTCTGTTAGTTTGGGGTGTTAAAATTGCACGTCCTGCTCACTTGTATTGGCAAAATATTTTTAGTGACAAAATTACTACTGCAAAACACATGTGCCAACCATGTGTTGATACATTTTTTGTTATTCGAAAAATGCCCCTAAGCATGTTAAATAATAGAAGGCAAAGTTTACTCATTCATGAAAATGATTGAATTAAAATTTTAAATAATTTATGACTGAAGACATTAAAAGAATATTTTTTAAAAAAAATTACCATCAAATTATGTATTTCCTTTTAAAACACAGATAATTCCTTTCATTTTATTTATTTTTTAGAAATATAATAAATCTAACTTTGAAAATCTTATTCCAATTGAGTTTTGAATCAATAGTTTTTTTTTATATATACTATTTTTCAAAATAATAAATAAAGTTTTGTAATTAGAGTTTTATTCTAAATTAAGTGGTTATCCAAAATCAATTAGTTTTCCATTTAAACATATTTGAAAAACAAAATATTAACTATCCTAATTGTTGTCAATTTTTACATCTAAATTGTGTAGTAATTAGTCAATTTTAATGACTTATTTAATTTTTTGTTTACCAAATTGTGAATTATACAAAAGACTTTTTTATTTAAATTAAATGAACTAAATTATAATTTAACACATAACGTAATATTCATAAGAGAATTGGAGGATGCCATTCACATTCACATTCACATTCACATTCACGTGGCCATGTTGGCACCTCTTCTCATATGTTTTTGTTTTTTTTATTAAGAAGAAAATTTTTGCAGGGATGAATGCGCTTCACTTGTTTGCCTTTAATTTTCGTAAGCAAATGACAAAAATATCCCTATTTCTTATACTCTTAATTATAAAGTTAGGAACAATAATGTCATCTTGTTTAAAAATAAAGTATGGTCATATAATAAAGTGTAAATGTTGTCTTTCTTGAATAAAAGTATGGTCATATAATAAAGTGTAAATGTTGTCTTTCTTTTATTCAAGACAGGGTTTATTAGAGAAGATTATTAAGAGAGAACTAAAACATCAAGGGTTGATATATATATATATATATATATATCATCTTTTGCCAAACTATTTCAAGGTTAAAAGTTTAAGGGATTCTACCAACAACAAAAAAAATAGTTATACAAAGTTGATTATATATACTATTATGATATGAAGAAACAGTAAATTGAAACTTCAAAAAAATGACCACAAAAATAAAATCAATTGAATCGTATTTGAGTAGAATAAATAATTTTTTTATTTAAAAATAACTTAATCAATAACCATAAATTGGACGAAATATATTTTATCAAATTTAACAATAAAATAAAAATTTTAAAATAACTAAAAAGGTAAAATCAATAGAATCACACTCAAATAGAATAGAAGAAAGAATTAAAGATTCTTTTAAATAAAAAACTTAAAAATAACATAAAAAAAAATAAATCAATAAAATTATACTCGAATATAATAAAAGAAATAATTTTAAAAAAAACTTAATCAAAAACTCTAAATTGGACGAAACATATTCCATCAAAATTCACAAGCAAATAAAAATAAAAAATAATTAAAATCAATAGATCGTACTCAGATATAATTAAAATTCTTCTAAATCAAAATATTGAAAAATAAGGAAAAAAAAAAATCAATAGTCAATAGAAAAGAACAAAGAATTGAAAATTCTTTTAAATCAAAACTTTAAAAATAACGGCAAAAGTAAAATTAGTATAATTATACTCAAATAAAATTTAAAAAAAAAAAAAGAATTTTGTATAAAAAAAACTTATTTAATTAATAAAGCAATTTTTGTATAATTAAAAAAAAAAAAAAACTTATTTAATAATTTTTTATAGCATTTTCCAATTAACATTGGACAAAGTAAAGCTACTTTGGATTACGGGTCCCTCACAAAAGCATCATGAAAGAAAATACTCCAATAAGTCTAATATGGTTGCTGCAATAACACGGGACAATGTACCTTCCAAATATATATAGCTCCACTATTAAGTTTATTATTAAAAGTACAAAAATTGTTTTCATCAGTATATTAATTTATTTAATAATATAGTAATAATAATAATAATAATAATAATAATATAATAATAATAATAATAGAAAATATTTGAAATTCAATAAAAGGAAATCTGAATAAAAAATATATATATTGAAATTCGATAAAAAGAAATCTAATTAGAGAAGAATATATATAATATTAAAAAAACTAATTAGAGAAGAAAATACTTATAATAATATAGTAATAGAAAATATAGAAATTCAATAAATGAAAATCTAATTAGAGAATAAAATTTATAATATTAAAAAAATTATTTAATAATAAAGTAGTAGAAAATCTAATTAGCAAAGGAAATATATACAATTAAAAAACTAAAAATACTAAAATTCAATCAAAAGAAATCTAATTGGAGAAAGAAAAATATAATATTAAAAAGCTTATTTATTAAATTGAATAAAAAGAATTATAATTAGAGGAGGAAAAAAATACTGAAATTCAATTAAACGATATATAATTAGAGAATGAAATATACAATTTATTTTAATAAATACATAAAATTCTATATCAAAATATACCAATAAAATAGCAATGCAAAACTTATATATACACACTTCCACTCATGTGCACCGCACGTGTATAAGTGATTATAATTGAAATCAAATAATGTTGCATTTTTCATGGTAACATCTAAAGAGTTTAATTTTAAGAAATAATAATAATAATAAGAAAAAAAAAAAAAACATGTAACAAAATTTTCAATACACACATATTTATATATAAAATAAACAGCATAGAAAAATTCAAACTTTAAAGAAATTAATAATAAACTTCTTATATTATTCTTTTCTTTATCTTTTTTTTATTTCAATTTAAGCAATTCTCTCTATTGTCTCGCACCCTTGCAACTCCATCTCTCTCTCTCTTACTTTATGCACCTTTTTTTTTTTTGGTTTCTCTCACAACGTCTCTCACTCTTTCGTAGAGATTTATCTCTCATTTTTTTCAAAAATAAAAAATAAAAATGATGATAAGCAACAATATTTGATGATAAGATTGTACCCTAACCGAGACATAATTTTTTGCTTTGCATTGAAGAAACGTATGAATTAATTGAAAAATATATATATTATGATGCAGATTACATAATATATACAAGTAATATGCATTACCTAAGTGGAAGTGGAGATTCTGAATTCTCTGTTTGTTTTCAGGCTTATACAACAATCAACAAATAAAGATGTGTCTGCAAAACAATAATTGAATAATTAGTATAAATTCTGACAAGAGAGAGTAGGAGATACCACATATGAAATGAAATGAAGATATAATAAATTCACAATTCAAATCTTATATATACTATAATGAGATTTATAAGAGAAGATTACTAACAGAGAACTAAATCACCAAGGGTTGAGATATATATATATATATATATATATATATATATATATATATATATATATATATATATCATCTTTTGCTAAACTATTTCAAGGTTAAAAGTTTAAGGGATTCTACCACTCAATAAAAAAATATATATATATAGAAGTTATATGAAGTTGATTATATATACTATAATGATATGAGGAAACAATAAATTTTAATTAGAGAAGAAAATACTAATAATAATATAGTAATAGAAAATATTGAAATTCAATAAATGAATATCTAATTAGAGAACAAAATTTATAATATTAAAATTTTTATTTAATAATAGAATAGTAGAAAATCTAATTAGCGAAGGAAATATATACAATTAAATAACTAAAAATATTAAAATTCAATAAAAAGAAATTTAATTGGAGAAAGAAATATATAATATTAAAAAACTAATTTATTCAATTGAATAAAAGGAATTATAATTAGAGAATAAAATATATAATTTATTTTAATAAATACATAACAATACTATATCAAAATATACTAATAAAATAATACAAAACTTATATAAACACACTTTCACTCATGTGCACCGCACATAATTGAAATCAAATAATGTTGCATTTTTTTTGGTAACATTTAAAGAGTTTAATTTCTAAAACAGAAAAAAAATAAAAATCTAAAAATAACAAAAAGGGAAAAATAACTTAAGATCAACATTTAAAAATTGTGATAAGCATTTATGTATTCTCTCTCTGGTAGAGATCTATCTATCCTTTTTTTTTTTCAAAAAAAAAAAAAAGAAGAAGAAAAAAAAATTGATGATAAGCATTTAGTGATAATTAAATTACATAAGATAGTTAATGATATAAAATATTTGCGTTCTCATTCGAAGATTGGCAAAGAAAATAAAAAAGAAAAAAAATTGTAAAAGATAATCAAATAAACTATGGCTAATAATACCTGAATCTCGATTTTATCTTGCACATATAAAAGGGAAAAAGAACTTAAGATCAACATTTAAAAATTGTGTTATAGACAAGGTTATATTAGTAGAGTTATTTATATTCAAATGTATCCTTTTATAAAGGATAAAAGAAAATTATATGTATACCCGATAAAGCTCTCTAATAAAAAAATGCAGTCACTATGGTAGTTAATAAAAATGGTATCTCATACCAGCACAATTGTAATATAGGAAATTTAAAATCAAACAACAAAATCAAGCAGTGAATTATAATTTTAGAACACCTACCGGGAAAAATAATAATAATAATAAGCAGATTACATATTATACACAAATAATATGCATTACCTAAGTGGAGATTCGGAATTCTGTACTTGTTTGGAGGGTTATATGACAATCAACAAATAAATAAATTGTGTCTGCAATACAACAGTTAAATAATTAGTATAAATTCCGAAAAGGGAGAGTAGGAGATAATTCATATGAAATGAAAGCAGCGTTTGTTTTGATGTAAAATATTCTTTTTGAATTTTTTTTTCAAGTAAAATATTTTTTTATTTTACTTTATCGGTATTTGCAAAAGATCTATGTTGAGATTGAGGTCATCTGCATCGGGCGGGACATGTAAAATTATTTGCCGAAAATTTATGAATAAATTATTTTTATTAAATTTTAATTTTTTTTTTCTTTGTAAATATTTTTACGACAACCAAATACTCAAAAAATAAAAATATATTTTTTAAAAAATATTTCACGTCTAGACAAACGGAGTTGAAGATATAAATTCATAATTCAAATCTTTTGTAGATAAACTGATAAATATATAATGCCAAATCGTAGCGAAGTGATGGAGTAAACCCAATTGTTTACACAAATAGAACCCAATAGCATTAATTTTGACGCAGGAGTATGGTTGAGGTAGGATAGCTCAATTGTCAAAGAATTGTAAAAAATTCAGATCGATTTGTTAGACAGGATTTACGTGACACAAAAAGACTAAAAATATTTAGTAGTGGGCTATACTGACTCATTACAAAGCATTGAACTCCTAATTTTCTTTCTTTAATTATCTTCATTTTCTTTCATCTATGGAATTTAATTCCTTCTTTAATTATCTCCAATTTTTACTCCCTAAATATCTCTGATCTCTATTTTTTGTCGTCTAGACTTAAACAAAGGAAAAATATATATATATATATATATAGAGGTTTAATTGATTGTAAAATAAGAGATAATAAGAAAAGGTAAATGAAAGTCAAAAATTAAAAGGTTAGTACCCACAAAATCACTTTGAACTCTATTAACATTTAGTACTCACATCCATTCTTTATAATACAATTTAATTTTATTAAGATAATTTATCATTAAAAAATATACAAAAGTCTCAACAATCATTTTAGACTCCATTAATATTCATTTTTTTTTGTAATACAATTTGATTTTATTGAAATTTTATAAGTAAGCATCATCACTAACAATTAATCAAATCTCTCTCTACAATTACACGAAGGTAGAAGATGGATGAAATAATCAGAGAAAAACTGAAGAGAGAGAAAGAGAAGGAGAGAGAAAGAAAAAAAAAAGGAAAGAAAGATAAAGATTGGACTCATAGGGTGAAGATGAGAAATGATAGTAAAAAACAAAAGAGATAAAAATTTAATAGTTATTGCTTTAAATATTGTGACATCCACATAGATTAGGTAAGATAAATTAGTTTACTTCTTCTGTGCAATTATCATTTCTCTTATATATATAATAAACAGCATATCAAAATTCAAACTTTAAATAATTTAATGGCAAAAGAGGTAAAATGAAAAATAAAAAAATAATAATAAAAAAACAACTCCTAAACTATACTATTATTGAATTATTTTTAAAAACAAGTTGTTCCCTTGAATTATACCATTATTGCAAAATGCCCCTTTAAAGGCCTCCGGAAGCTAAATTCCGGCCAACAGATAGACACAATTACTAATATGCCCTTCCTTAAAAATTTATTATAAAAAGTGCAGCCAACAGAGGCATCGATAACTAATATTCTCTCTCTACAAACTATCTCCTCTATCTGGCTAAAAAGTGCAGAACCGTTCCGGCCAAACTATTGGTATATTAAGACATCAAAAACAAGTGTAACTGAACCAACTGAACATTTCAGTTTAGATGCTTTTGATGGTGCTGATGAATTCAGTGTCATTCTTTCAATTAGGCAGATCTTGATATAGAGAATGTTATATTAGTATAGATATTCAAATGTATCCTTCTTATAAAGGATAAAAGAAAATTATATGTATACCCGATTAAGCTCTCTAATAAAAAAATGCTGTCACTTTGGTAGTTAAAAAAAAATGCTATATCATACCAGTACATTTGTAATATAGGAAATTTAAAATCAAACAACAAAAGCAAGCAGTGAATGATATTTTTAGAACACTACAGGCAAAATAAATAAATTGCAGATTACATAATATATACAAATAATATACATTACCTAAGTGAAGATTCCGAATTCTCTATTTGTTTTGAGGCTTATATGACAATCAATGAATAAAGAAATTGTGTCTGCAAAACAAGGAAGAGTAGGAAATGCTAAGGAAGAAAAGTCTTGGGCTAGATTGAGATACCACACATGAAATGAAGATATAAACTCACAATAGCATTAATTTTGACGCGCAATAGCATTAATTTTGACGCGGTAGTACGGTTGAGGTAGGATAGTTCAGTGTCAACAACTCGTACAAATCCAATTATTTAATGACAAAGTAGAATCATTGTTAAAAGTTTAATTTACGTGTGTGTATTATGGTTCGTCATATCAACGGACATTCGGTTCGTAATTTTTTTTTAAGGGTCCGATATTGTTCCGCACATCATGAATTACTCCGTTCGGCCAGTTTACATTTACATTCGTCTGAGCCTGTTATACCGTAATTGCGACTGATATTACAACCGTGAACCATAGTGTTTTTCTTTTCCATTGAATTGAGATTGTGATTGTGTGTTTATTTTGTCCAGTATATGGAAAATTTGGCAGAAGTTTGCAATTTACCATCAAAGTACCTGTCCAAAAAAAAAATATTTATGAAAAGAATTACCTATCATAAAGAGCAAGTCGGAGACGTCAATGGATTCCCCACACCCACCAATAATGCGACCAAGTCCATGGACCCAAGAAAAGGGACCTTTCTTGGAGGGAGGACAAAAGCACATGCCAGGTAATAAATACATGAACTACTAACAAACTTTTAATTTCCCAAATTAAAGCATTTATTTATGTTTTTGGGTCACATAAACTAAGCAATTCTACAATTTTGGACCGTCATATTAGTTATTTCAAATTACAAGCGGCCATTCGGTTAATATAAATTACAGCGAATACAAAATTTGTGCTATGCTGAATAATATATTCAGCTTCAATTTGTAAAGTATCTCTATTAGATTTTCGAATTTCGAACAAAACGCAAACAAATTTATCCAAATTTGGCACGTTAGTGTTCTTGTATAAGTCCAAAATTCATGAACGATAATAAAAAGAATAGAGGTGAGTAGATTCCAGCAAGGATGAAGGAATGACGGCGAGGAGAAACTGAGGACGCGAGGACTGTTGACGACGATGAGTTTTGATTCGTTGTGGTAGAGAAGTATGGAGAAGATACGAGGTGGGTGTTGACCAGAGAGTTGGTCAGCGATGATGTGGATACGGTAGCGGGACGACGGTGTCAACCTTGGTTCCTGATCGCGCCGGCGATGGATACTCATGCTCTAACCGGTGTCTCCGACGATGATTGCGCCGCCAATGGACGACGAAACCAACTATGAACAATTGATTTGCTGATCGGCCGTAACCCTTAATCCTTTTCACCGTTTGCTGATTGCCCGTCACCCTTAACCCTTTTCACTGTCGTCACCTCCTCCTCTGCAACCCCTCATCGTCGTCCTGATAACCCTTGACCCCTTTTATTTTTTTAATATTATATAAATTTTTTGTACACATGATTTTTTTCTATCTGGCCGTGTCTGTGTCTAAAACGATAATTTTATCTTGTTTTATTTTTTTAATATTATTTTATTTTACTAAGAGGGTATTATAATATTTTTATATAAACAGGAAGGTATTTGCACTTGATTAAAAATAGATGGACGTTTTATATTACACAGAGATTTTTTTATATTATAACAATAGGGTTTTTTGCACTTAACCCCATTTTTTATTGCATTAATTAGTGAATGACAAAAAATAAAAATAAAAAACCAATTTTGTAGTTTTACTTTTTCCTTTTTTTCCAGAATTTTGAAAATTGTGTAACATATATTAAATACAAAAATTGAAATATAATTAAATTATATAAAAATATATTTTACAAATTCAAGAGCCAACGGCTTGTTTTCCAAAATTGAGATTGAAGTTTAATTTTCTGAACTTGTAAAGATATCCAGGCTAATACGCGTGAATTGAATTCGAAGATTCTTAAAATCATTTTGGCATGACTCAAACAAGTAGATGAAATATATATATATATATATATATATATATATATATATATACCGTTTCAATAAAATTACCAACTTGTCAAGACACAAACCAATAATGAGATTGATATATATTAGAAAATACGTAAAACTATTCCATCCATCCAAAAAAAAAAAAAAAAGATAAGATAAATGGTATTTCTCACATTAAATTTAAAAACTATGATTTTTTAGTTAAAATCCCCTGTTGGCGTGATCATAAAATATTACGGAGTATATTCTTCTCTAAGTGATGAAATTAAAAAAAAAAAAAAAAAAAGAAGTTCAAAATGACTTCTGCAACATGACTACACAAGTTATGGACCAATTAAATGAGTAACTATTTGTTGTGCTTGTAGTGCTTGTATCGGGCACATCGCAAGTTCACAACCGTCCGCACTTATTGTGCACAGCAAATATTTATTCTTAGTAAAGAAACAATGCATTCACATTCACTTGAGCAACAATCTCTGCCCCATCGAAAGCGACAATACAACTACTAAATTCAGACATTGAAATAATTTATGGACCACGCAAAGCCAATTTCAACATTTATTGTTTGGTGATTATAAAATGAAATTTGAATCAAATTTCTAGATATGAGTTCTATCTTAGAGCAAATACAACTTCTATATCATAGAAAATAATTAAAAATAGGGTAAATTCAGACATTGAAATAATTTATGGACCACACAAAGCCAATTTCAACATTTATTGTTTGGTGATTATAAAATGAAATTTGAATCAAGTTTGTAGATATGAGTTCTATCTTAGAGCAAATACAACTTCTATATTATAGAAAATGATTAAAAATAGGGTAAATTACATTTACCTCCCTCCTAGTTAGCTAAAAGCTCAAACAGCTACCCTCAATTATTCAAAATATCATTTGCCTCCCCTAAAACAAACTTCCGTCAATTAATTGATGATGTCAGCAATCTAAAGTTACAGAAACCCCATATTGCCCTCCAAATATATATGAAGACCATTTTGCCCAAACAATATGCTCTTGCCAAAATGGAGCACACATTTCCCTCCACTTCTCAAGTTCCATCTAACAGCTTCATTTCCCTCCGTTTTCTATATATATATTAATGTATTATATTGTTGATTTTCTATATTTGATGATTTGAATTGCATTAAATATTTTCTACTTAATATATTGGTAATTTATATTGATTATTTGTCTTATTTAATTTGATTATTTAATTAATTTGTATATAGATAGCACCTTAGTTGAACTTGCCCCACTTGCAAAAGTTAAGTTTGCCACATATGGCAATTCAATAAAATTAGATCAACTAGTTATAAGTTAAAACAAAAACATAAAATAATAAAAATTCACAACAAGAGAAGAAAAACCAAACATATAATGAAAAGTCGTAATTAATAGTGAACATAATTTTCATTACATAATTTCATTAATAAAAGACCCAACAGGTTCTATATTTGTCATTACATAACTTCATTTCACCCAAAAAAAAAAAAGTCACTTGCATCCCCCAAAAAACACTGTACCACATCATTTGCAATTTTTTGTACCACAACGCAAAAAACCTAGGTTTAAGAGCTACACATCAGTACTTAAGTTTCATCTACAAAGTTTATAAACATAAAAGATTGTTGCAACTGGAATTGTCATATATTGCAGTGGCGTAGCCACATAGCGACAAGTGGGGGCAGCTGCCCCACTGAATTTTTAATTTTTTTTTTTAATTTTATATGCAAAGATTTTTATATTTGTATAATTGTCCCCGCTAAAAGATTATATATATATTATCTTTCCAAAAAATATGATTTTTTTTTTTTTTTTGCACTTTCTCAAAATATTATATTCTTTCCCACTTTCCCCAAAAATACAAGATATTCTTTTACACTTTTGACTTTACCACAAATAAATGCGTTGTTAATTTCCATCACATTTTCAATCTTCAACATTTCTCTTCCGGCGAGTTTTCAATATTTCAAAAATTCACAAAATCCAAACAAATACTGCAGTGCGGAGATAGGTAATCTGATATATATATTTTTTATCTCTAAATTTACTATTATAATGCCATGAACATTTTGAAAACTCGACTGCGTGCTTTTAGAATATGAAAAATATTCTGAAATATTTAGTACTGTTTAATTTTTACATATATTATTTTGGTTCAAATAATATATATCTTCAGTGGGGGTAATTTTTAACAGCAATAATATATATAATATTTAGTACTGTTTAATTTTTATATATTATTGCTGTTAAAAATTGCCCCCACTAAAGGAAATTTCTGGCTACGCCACTGATATATTGGTTTGGCTTCAGGAGCTTGCACCATGACCAACATTGCTACCCATGGTTGAATGTGTCCTTCCTCTGCCAACTATCCTTCCATGAAAAGTTCCCCCATTGTGATATGTTCCTTAGGACTGAACAAGAGTTTATGTTGAAAACAAAAGAGAGTGAGATGGAAAAATATTAAGTTTCCAAGCTACTTCGAGGGTAGCAACCTCCACAAGACTTGTAAGTCTAATTTAATTCTTGCTTTCTTTATTCATGTCAAATTCTTAAATACAAGAAGGATAGAGTTTGTTGCAAAACAAACTTCTATTATCTAGGAAACAAAAAGTTAACAGAAGACTAATTCTAAAGGAGATAAAAAGAGAGAAAACAAGGAGACTAATTCAGCTGGGAGACTAATTCAGCTACAGCAAGGAAACTCTACTTCAGCTAGCAACCCCATTATGCACATAACAGTGCCTCCCCCTCAAAATTAACCTTGTCCCCAAGGTTAAGTTCTGGAAAACGCCTCTTCATATCTAAGAGTCGTTCCCATGTTGCACTGTATCTAGAAGTACCCACCCACTGAACTAAAATTTCTGTGATATTTCTTTGACCTTTGCGAACAATACGATGTTCCAAAATTTGAGCAGGCTTCGGCTCCAATATTCCATCGTTAGAAATTTCAGGAAGTGAAATTTGTGGTACTTCTTGATCGCCCAATTTTTTCTTCAGTTGAGAGACGTGAAAACCATTTTGTATTTTTGCTGAAGAAGGCAAATTTAATTTGTAAGCCACTGCTCCAACCCTTTCTAAAATCTGAAAAGGTCCATCATAACGAGGTGAAAGTTTAAGAGATTTTCGGACTGCTACCGA